AATAATAATAATAATAATAATAATAATAATAATAATAATAATAACGGTAATAATAATAGTAATAAATAAATAAATAAATAATAATAATAATAATAGCAATGATGTTACCGCGATGACATAATCAGGATTTTACAGCCAATTTTACAAACTGACCATTCCTCTAAAATCTTTCAAAAAAAAGGTGAAAAGATGGAAAATGAAGAATGTTCACTACTACAAAGAAAAATGGTAGATTTCCGAAGATATCAAAAAAAGTACATTAGGAAACAATAAAAATAAACGATAAAAGGACAACGGTTCCCACTACGAAGCGATTTTTGACCAGATTCTTCAGTTATCCGAATGTCTGGCTTGACTAAAAACGAAAAAAAAATGGAGCCACTACGACTGAATTAATTAGTGGGCACCTAACAAAGCAACCATATCTGACAGCAGGTACACCAGCCATTGCAAAAATCCTACAGAAAATTACAGTCAGCAAAGGATTTCTACTGAACACCAAGTAATCAACCAGGAAGTAAAAGAACTACTGACAAGTATATCCATTCTAGTAGTTCGAAATGGACATCCTGGGACCTTTTTTAAAAACTTTTACGAAAAGGTACCCAAAAACATTCCGAATGAATACTTATAATGCTCGCTTAAAATATGCACATGTTAACAGAGTGTTTACATATCTCTAGTATCAATAATGTGAAAAAAGTTCAAAACTTTGATACATGGCCTGGTCAACGAGTTCATGTCATAAGCTTGACATATGAATTGTAATTTGACACATCTCTTTTCAGGATTTCACGTACTGGGCCCATTACACGCTCAAAACGTGCTCGGTCTAATTTCACACACTTCAGGGGCGTTTTTGCGACCACTGTTGCAGCTCGAGGTCGATCTAACAGCAGCGCTATTTCACCTGAAAAAAAAACCCCAGTAGAACTGAATCGTGAGCAATGAACAATTTGGAAGAAAGAACACTCACCTCGTAAACTTACTCCGCCGCCAATACAAGTAAAACTCACCGAAATAATCCGAAGAAGTTAAATGTCCGACGATTTCGAAAGGCGCGTCGTCACTGCGCTTTTGCAGTACATCTGCCTGTCCTTCAACAATTATAAAGAATTCATCGCCGGGCTGTCCCTGCAAAACATTTTTTCACTGACAGAAACAAAAGTGCACAGTGTCGGACCAGTCCTAATACCCCTTCGCAAAATCGAATTCAACAATCCCACGAGATGCGCCAGGACAAGCACCCAGTTTCCAGTCACTCGCAATGCTTGATGCCGCCAGAGAGGCTGATAAAACCGTGCTCGCCTTCCTCATCCGGCTACTTACGCTAATGCTTCTTCTGCTTCTCGAGAAACCAAACTGCATTCACACTTACGTACGCTGAAAGACTTGTAACAAGCGAACTACTCCAAACAACACGATGCATGGGCAGACAGATATCTGCACGAGTACAAGAAAAGAGAAACCTGCTCGACAACATGAGTTCCTGGTTCAAAATCGCACCGCTCCAATGCATCCGCTACATTCGCTCGTTCCCACTTATCGAGATCAGCTGGAATGCATTTAAAACCTCTGAAATCTTATCCTCGAAAATTAATCTGAGAATGCTCAAATTTGACTTGTTTTAATGGAAGCAGATAAAACTACTGGGCATGAATTCATGACTTTCTCGATTCATTCGTTTCAGCAGACTTGCCTATGTGAGGACTGGAATCTTAAGTTGGGTCCAAACTTCAGCGAAAGCACACCCACAGGATCAATTTGCATACGGATATTCGTGACCAAATTAGGTCCGCATCGATGGTCAAGTACGCTGCGATGCTAATACTTGTATGGGAGTACCGCTCAGCATTCTCAGTTAAGATGGTTCGTTGTTAGCCCCTTTTTTCTGAGACTATTCCTCCTTTCACAACAAAAAAGTCAACTAGACCCCAACGTCTAACAGCACCAAGTCAATTCTAACAGTCCACGAGCCAATTTACACACGCTGAGAAGCAACGAAAACTACCCTTTCAGGTGACTTGAGGAACTCTTGCACAAACCACACCGCTCAAGTAAGAACTACAGCAAGATGTGAAGCAGGGTCAACAGTATCACACAAAAACACGCCAACTGTGAAATCAAGTTCAGCAGACTCAGTGGACTATAAAAGCTACGTAACAGTTTGGCTTAGACTGCTAAATACACTAAAAGGTATTAAATGCGTCGGAAGTCCGCCCCAAACAGAAACCAGTAGTGTATGAACACGGCTTTATAGGGGAACTAAATAACAGTTTTAACGTAGCAAGGGGATTCATTAGAACAGTGGAATAAAAAATGACTGGAAAGCAAGTGAACAGTTCGGCTGATGGCTGAGAAACTAACTGGGAGCGGCTGGATAATACCAGTTTGTAACACCTTCTGCTGATTTCCGGAAAAAGACACAGGAAGCAAGCCTAGTCCTTCTGTTACAAGAACACAGTCTCCTAAAGTAGAATGTGGCCCTTCTGTTCAACACTGCACATTTCCTAATCAAATTTTAGCCCACAACCTACTTTTGGCTCCACACTTGTTTCGAAAAAAAAAAAAATCACTTCATGTCTTGGCCCCGTTTTTGTTCCCTCGGCAGAATTCTGACCCTTCTTGACAAAATACTACATTTGCCTTCCAATCATTCGCCCTTCTTGGTTCAACTGCACGCATTTTTTACTACCAAGTGCCAACGAATTTTGTGCTTGCTGAAGATATGCGAAGCTTCGAAAGCAGAAAAGCAAACGCTAGCTGTGATAGTGACAGTACCACTTAAAGTATCAGTTTGTGACCGTATAAAAGCAGACAATTTTCTTTCAGATGAGCGACGTGTAGTGTATTACTGCAGCCGCGGAAGAAAATAAGACCTACTGGGTAGAGCACAGTGCTCGCTATGCTAATAACTGGCGTGCATCAAGAGTCGCGTAAATGCAAACGTCCACTTTGGCGGCGCAAAAAAATCGAACGGGCAGTGGGTACCGCAGGATAGAAGGAACTGGCACAGCTACGCATCGCATGTGGGAACATACTGATTTTCCGCGCGGTGTGCGAGTCTCCGATAGGGAAAATGAAAGAGGAGGAAAGGAATGCCCCTGCAGAATCTAAAGCAGGCTATGCGCGAACGCTTATAGCAAAAGAAAAAAAGCTCCACTGCGTATCTGAGCGGCGAAGTTCGAATTCTAAGGGCAGAACCGCAAGTCAAACCACCTACAGGAGCAACAGAGAACTCACTTCTTCCCCAGCACTCTTTCAAAATAGTCCAGCAAACTCACACAATATCTGAACTTTAGAAAGGAATTCGTCATAGAGCTTTCTCTTGCGCATTGTCGATCCCATTAGTATCTGTCGATAGGTAATACGATCAATTGCCCAACACTTCACAACATCGGACTTGGCAATAACTGTTGCGGCTCGTGGAGTACCATAAATCAGGGCCAGTTCACCAAAACTACCGCCTTCTTTGATTGAAACGGCATATTCGCCATTCACAAATACGTCAACCTATCATGAAGACAAGCACAGCGTGTACAATTTTAGCGATACATATAAAACAAGCATAAAAGCAGCAGGCACCACGCCACTTCCGGGAGGAACAATATTTACTTTTCGACAAACTTGATATAACGTGCAGCGCTTTTCCTCGACATTTAC